GAAAACTCTTTCCCTATAAATAAGAGGAGAGATGTGACAACAATGTAGAATTTTTGGGAAGAGAAATTTTGACACAATTAAAAAGAGAGCTATAGTAGATGGTAAAAGAAAAACAAAAAGGAGAAAATAATTTTCTCCTAAAAAACCTAACACATTAATTTTTCTATTCTTTTTGAGTTGTCGTAAAATTACTTGGATTAGATTTCTATAGGAAACACTAAATAAATCGGAAAAGGTAGAGCTAGCACTCTATCAATTTTGAGTGCTTCTTTATTATTGCTTGGACTACATGGATAATCAATAGAGGCCGGATGCTTGAATGGTTCCTTTCTTTACTAAAGAATTTAGATCCGTGCTACAAGAGATAATTCTCTATTCATCACTTCAATTCATGAATATAGGATTAGTTGATTCAACGACAAGATCTTGGGCCTTTTAGATGGAGGAAATTTTTATTTTATTCTATACTTTCATAGAATGTATGATCCTTCTATCCTTGCCTCTCTCATCCCTCTTATATATAGGGACGATAACTTCTCCTTGTAGGTTAAGGAGATGTTGCTTATGTGGGCTTTGTCTAACCTTATTCTTGTAAGCTCGAGCCTTATCTAATAGTGCTCAAATTTATCCTTTGAACAAAATATCTTATAGGGTTTTAAATTAAGCCTATTGGCCCAAACTTTTTTGGCTTAATTAATTATCAACTAATTTAGACCATCCAAATAAATTGGATTAGATATCTTTCGGAGGTCCATATTAGAAAATAATTTTTTAAATTATCCTTAAACCTAAATTAGAAAACTAATTTTCTTTTTAGGTAACTTTCTTCCAAATTTAGAACTAACTTTCAAATTAGGAAACTGATTTCTAAAATAGAAAAACTTTCCATTTTTGAAAAAAATTTCAAAAGAAGAAACATTCCAAAATAGGAAACCTTTTTCAAAATCTTTGCTTCTCTTTTATCGTATGAATGTTTAAAATTATACATGTGACTCAGTAGACTCCTAGATATGCTAGTAATGTATCAAGAAGATAAAAGACACCTATTTATTTTTTGATACATAAATCAAGATTGGCCTCCAACAAGGTATCATGACTACTCAATTCTCTCGGAAGATTAATTAATCTATAATTACTTTTCACGAGAATGATTTTCATACGATCTAGTCATCATGTCAATTTATTATAGTGTAATCTCAAACTTGGTTTATAATTTGGTTGATTAAGGTCACACAAGCTTTTTTCGATATCCAAATATCTTAGTTCTAAAGTAAACCAACTATGCTCTATTTGTATATTCCCACTATGGCTATGGATTCCTTGAGTAGACATTCATCAAAGTGTAATATGATAACTCTTTTAGCATATAAGGAATGACATGTCCTATCTTAGTCATCCACCTATCTCTATTAGATTCCTAGGACACCCAATAAATCGCTCATATGCGACTCTTTACTCGAGCCCATCGAAATGAATGTCAAAGTACATAAATCTTCTAATGAGATAACCATGATGATTTTAAGTCAAAGGACTAGTTATATCCATCCCATAGGAGATTCTCATAGACAAAATTGAAAGATCATGCATCCTATAGAGGTGCGAAATAAATAAAAAAATTTCCTCCATCTAAGGCCCCAAGATCAAGCCGTTGAATCTACCAACCATACATACATGAATAATAAACTATAAGTAAATGATTACTCGTTGTAGTGCGGATCCGAATTCCTTTTCAATAAAGCCGTCTAAGTGTTTGGCCTCTATTGATGATTTACGCAATCCAAATATCCATAAAGAAGCACTCAAAATTAATGAGGTGCTAGCTCCACCTTTTCCGATTAAGTATTTCCTCTAGAAATCAATCTCGGGCAATTTTATGACAACCTTAAAGGAGAAGAAAAGAATATTTCTTACTAGGATTTAGGAGAAAACTATTTTCTCCTTTTTTTCTTTCTTAGCCGTGTGCCCTAGGTTATTTTTAAGGGCTGGCCAAAAACCTCACTTCTTTTTTTTTCTTTTGGCTGAATTACTTCTTTTGTGTTTCAACTTGGCTGAAATACTCTATGGTTGATTAACGTCCTTTATGTCACACCTCTCATCCTATTTATAAAGGGAGAGTTTCCTTGTCCTCCAAGGACAAGGAGAGGGATAGCTATGAGTCCATAAAGGACTATATATTATTTCTTCCTTATCCTCTAAGGATGAAGAATTATTTTATATATGGACTACTTGATTATTATCTTATAAAATATTCAATCTTATCTAATAAGGTTAATATTTATTTTTAAAACATTTAATCTTATCCAATAAGGTTAATGTTTATCCTTCCACCAAAATTATCTTAAGGGTTTTAATTAAACCTAATGGGCCAAAACTATTTTAGCCCAATTAATTTTTTTGGACTATCTTAGATTATTTTAACAAGGTTCACATTAGGAAATAATTTTTTAAAATACTTTTAACCTAAATTAGGAAACTTCTTTCCTTTTAGGTTCTTTATTTTCAAATTTGAAAGTAACTTTCAAATTAGAAAATCGATTTCTAAAATAGGAAACTTTCCATTTTGGAAACTCTTTCTAAAATAGGAAAATTTTTATAATTGGAAACTTTTTCAATATCTTTGCTTCTCATTCATAATATGAATACTTAAACCTATGCGTGTGACTCAATAGGCTCATAGATATGTTGATAATGTATCAAGAATAAAAGACTCCTCTTTAATCTCTTGATATATAAATCAAGATTGACCTCTAGCAAGGCATCATGACTACCCAATTCTCTAGGAGGATTAGTTAATCTATTATTACCTTTCACGAGCATGATTACCATACAATTCAGTCCTCATGCCAACTTATCATAGTGTGATCTCGAACTTGGTTATTAGTCTTGTTCAATTATGATCACACAAGTTTTCTTCGATTCTCAAATGTCTTAACTCTTAGAGTCAACCAACTATGCTCTATTGGTGTACTCGTACTCGTAGTCACATATTTCTTGAGCAAACATTTATTGAAGTGCAAAGTGATAACTACTTGAGCATACAAGGAATGACATGTCATATCTTAGCCATACACTTATCTCTATTAAACTCCTAGTGCACCCGACAAATCACCCACGTGCAACCCATTAATGGGTCCATCGAAACGAGTGTCAAAGTGCATAAGTCCTTCAATGAGATAAATGTGATGACCTTAAGTCTAAGAATCATTTGTACCCATCTTTTATGAGATTCCCATAGACTAAAACCAAATAGGTTATTATGGCGAGTCAAGTCTAGTGATATGTTCTCTAACATAAATCATTTAAGTGCTTGCTTTGGCATCACCATGTCATTAGGTGTGAGATCTCCTATTGCTATCATATAGTATGAGCATAGCACTCACAAGTTTATTCGTATTTTATCAATATCTATTCTTGATAATGCTACAACTTAGGACATTTAATGATATCATTTATATGCACAATGTTTGTCTCACATCTTTCGATCAATCACTATTGCAAATGCATATCATAAGGACTTCTATCTAATTCTACTAAATTTATCAACATGTAAACATAAAAATTAATAGAATGACTTCTTTATTATTATTAAAATAAATGATGTAATAATACATTAACATGAGTCCATCCAAACATGGTTGGATCTTAGGCACCAACACTAACAATAACTAAATGGGTTCTCATAGTGAGTCATATCTAGTGATGTGTTCTCTAATATTAGAATATTAATCACCTAAGTGCTGGCTTTGGCATCATAATGCCAATAGGTGTGAGATCTCCTACTTGCTATCTTATAGTAAGAGTAGAGCACTCATAAGTCTTACCATATATTGTTAATATCTATTCTTGACAATGCTACGACTTTGGACATTTAATGATAATATTTAAATGCATCCATGTTTGTCTCACATCTTTCGATCAATCATTAATACAATGAATATCATACGCATTCTCCTTTCACCTAGTTGATTATTAACAAATAATCACCATACGCATGAAGCTTGTTAATTTTTATCTCTAGGGCTAGAAGTAGCCTAAGCACATAAGCTTTATATTCTTTTATGTTGTTCGTACATTCAAATTGGAACTTGACAACCACTAAAAACCGCATTCCATATTGTGAAATTAGGATTGATCCAATACTACTTCCAAACTCATTGATTGCTCCATCAAAATATAAAATCATCAATTGCTAACTAGCTTAAGTTCTTCTTCAATCAACATGATTGATTTGTTATGGAATTCAAATTTCAAAAGCTCGTAGTCATCAATTGCACTATTTATTAGATGATCAACGACGGATACCGACTAAAATTAAATTTAACTATTAGCAATGGAAATTAAAAACTTACTTTTAATGATGAAAATTAGCAACGAGATATCAACGACAAATAGCAATTGAAATTAGTGATGAAGCTTAGAGATGGACTTCGTCTCTTTATAGCAACATAATTCAAACCATTTGTATGAATATTTACAATGAAATAGCAATAGAAATACATCAAAATATAGTTAATCCATCTCTAACAAACTTAGCAACAAGTATTTTATCGATGGTTTATTTCCATTGCTATACCGAATAGCGACGGAAATGTTAGTTTTAGCAATGGATATGTTTATCACTATTTACCTTTTGTTTTTTTTTTTTTTAATGCTTTTTTCTAACAAAGTTGATTATAAGAATTTCCAAGTCAATGCATAATTGCTTACAAATATTAGATACCCTGTTATGCAAACTAACAAAAAAATTAAAAATATATAAACCATTACAAAATATTATATACACACAACAAGGAGTCAGTTGGCTAAAAAACAATGACCCGTGAACTTTGAATTTTCTCCAGCAAAAGGTCTCCAATGATGACTCAATCTCCAACCTATAGCTGGTACTTTTCAGGTCCTACCATCCCTCTTCAAGTTCCTGCCGGCTATAAATTAGTCTTCCCACAAATCTCAACTGTTCTATAATCAACCTAGCGCATTATTTTTTGTTTAAAGGAAGAATGGGTTATTCTTCCTTTGATGCATTAGCTTTCTTCTTCTTGGTCTTTCTAATTAATCTCATTTCAAACCAAGCCTTGGCTTGGCGACCAGTTGATCCTACAAAAGGGTTCATTTCTCTCACACTGAACCGATCGTACTACCATATTCAGAGGCCTTATGATGTTCCTGAAGAGCAACGTTATAGCTTTGTCAATGGAGTTCATAAGTGCTGGGTTTACTCTACGGACAAACCTCATACTCTTACTAGTCAAACCAAACCACGTACTGAGATTGCTATACAGGTACGGTTAGCTACAAGAAATTATAATCTTTATTATTATTTTGAATTCAGAAACCAGGTGAATGCAAAGGCTTTCTAGAGTAGCCAATTCGATAATTTAATTTGGACTACATAATGGGGATGGTATTTTTTTTTTCTAAATTCTCAACTCAACCAAACCCTTTGGAATATCAACTTGGTACATGCAATTCACAAATTCCATTGAGGTTAATTAAAAAAAAAAATCGCCAAGGTTTATTTAATCATCTTTTTTCTTGTCACTAGAAAGAGAAAGACTCGACTATAATACCTTATAAAAAAAGGGAAACATAATACTGAGCCACAAGGCTCATTGCATGGCTGGTTAATTTTTAAAATTTTCCTCAGTTTTCGTGGCGATGGACTTTTTATGTTCTGCTACCGCATCTTGTTTTCCACACCTTGCTTTGAAAATCCTCACCAATTTGGTTTCCTATTTCATGCTTTAATGTCTTGATATTGGTTTATAATAATAATAATAATAATAATATAAAAATTCTGGTCTTGAGTTTCATATATAAAATAAGGGTATTCCTTGATCCCTATATATATGATTCAATTTGAAGTAACATTAAAGATAGATTAATTGACTTCACATTATTACGTGCCATTAAACTAATAGTAACCACAAATTGAACACAGATACCCTGCATGAGACCCTTGTTTCCTTGCATACAATTTATATATTTATGTATATACAATATCAAAGAGTTAATATAAAATTATTTTTGAAACATTATTCAATGATATAAGTTTTTAAATTGAGATAGTGTTTTTTATATGATATAAGAATTTTAATAATCAAATAGTTATAGATTCGAACCTCATCATTTCATTTTTCTATTAAATTAAAAATTAAGCACAATATAATGATGAGTTAGTACAAGTTTTAATTTTAAAAATTTTTTGTTTGAGATGTGTCAAGTCCGAAGATATTTCACTTGTAATAATGTATTACAAAGTAAAATGAAAATCACTTCTAGAATATCATCTAATAATTTAAGTTATTTGATTGAAATAAAAATCATTTTAAGTTTAAATTTTTTTTGCTTGAGACGTGTCAAGTCTGAAGATATTTCACTTGTAATAATGTATTAGAGAGTAAAATAAAAATCATTTCTAGAATATCATCTAATAATTTAAGTTATTTGATTGAAATAATTTTTTGACTTGATATCAAAATCTGAATCATGTCTAAATGGTGACAAGCTCAAATTCACTATCTTTATTATCTCTTCTAATCAAAATTAAATCAACATAAGATGGTCATGAGAGAGCTTATACAAGTTTCAAATATAAAAACAACTTTGAATTGGAAAAATGTGTTAAAAAACTAATGTAAAACAATTTTCAGAAACTCAATGAACAATTAAGCTTTTCAATTGAAAAAGTTCTGTCACAATATATATATATATATATATATATATATATATATATATATATATATAATTAAGCTTAGGGATCAATTAATGTTCTTCTTTTAGGGATATAACTATTCATCCGGGGTTTGGCAATTTGAAGGATACGGGTATGTACCCTATGGAACATCAGGAGTGTGCATTATGCAAGTTTTTGGAGCAAGTGCTCCTCATGCTACAACCCTAATGGTTAGGGTTTACAATGGTTCTCTCATGTACTATAAAGGTCCAGTCTTGGTCCCAGACATCTATGACAAATGGTTTCGGCTAAATGTTATTCATGATGTTGATGCTGCAAAAGTGAAGGTTTACATCAATGGTACCCTAAAAATAGAGGTAGATGGTCGTGGTGGCACATCTCATGCCTTCAAATGTGGTGTATATGCCCAAGATAATGATTCGTATTATATGGAGTCTCGTTGGAAGGGTATCAAAGTCTTGAAAAAAATATGATTGATTCTGTATCCTAATTAAATTCTCTTGTTGAGGAATATAGCAATTAATTGCAATATTAAAGTATCAGAAATTATAAGCTAATGGCGTAATTTATATATGTTATATTTCTATTTTTCAAATTTTATGATATATTTTGGGATTAGTTTTCGAATATCATGAAAAAGTCATATCCAATTACGTCTTAAGGAGACCACTGGATTTGTGCTTCCGCAAACACGTCAAAGGCCAATTTAATTTTTCTTGGTAAGAAAAAAATGATGAATCCAATATTAAAATTAGTAAAAGATATCGCTTATTCGAAATCCACATCCTCTCCTTTGAGAGATGCTAGAAAAATTATCTAATTTTGAATAAATATAAGAATGTGAAAGAGTATAAAAGGTTGAAAATGAGTAATTTGTATAACAGTCTAAGATTCTGGAATCAAAGTTATTAATTGACAATCTGAAAATATAGACTACGAGTAAGAGGATGTTAAAAAAACTATAACACATTTAAAAATACAAGAAACCAAATTAATATAAGAAATTGAGAGTAGACCTTCCACCATAAAGAAATCATGCCTTTTGAATAAAACACAAACTCAACTATTAATTTTAATAAGACATTAAATTCCTTGGAACTATAAATATAACACTAAACCAAAAAAGAAATTAAAAATCACAGTGGAGAAAAACCAAAAGAACTAAGAACAATCCAACTTGTAATACCTAAGTAAATTAAATACGAACCCCATCCAAAAGACAAAAAACGTTTGACTATATATAGTAGACCCCACCTCCAAACCCCCCATCCCCCTCTGGTCCAGAAAAATGTTTCAACAATACATCACATTTTTTTAGGCTAGTTTCTCACCTACGTTATTGTTTAATATATACATGAATGAAAGCGGCAAAAAAAATAAATAAACAAACAAACAAACTTCAACTACTTTACATTAAATATGTATTGGAATTGGCTCTCTCCTTTTCCTGGATTTCGAATCTTAGACTATATTAATCTAATTAAATTCTTTTATGATCAATATGCATTGAAATTGCAATTTATAATCTTAGTTAATTGTAGATTGAACCTGCTTGGCCGGTTGACCTGACAGATTAAGGATGGAGTTCATCGTCAATATGACCATATTATAAACAGCATATTATTCTTCAACTGTATGCACTTTACCAGATGATACCGTAGGTAGGGATTTCCTTGGGATTGTTTTGGTGATTGAGATTTTTTTTTTTTTTCTTTCAAAAGACATTATATTGATTAACAGGAGTTTTTGGATCAGTATTGAAGTTTTTTTTTTCAAACAAAAAAATATATATTATTTTTACAAGTATTATTTTTTCAAATTAAATTTTACAAAAATTAAGTCTTATCACTTTTTAGATTAGATTTCGTAACTAATTTTTGATCAATTATAAAGATAGAATTTTTTAAATCTACAAATAATTGATATACGAGTTTCACACAAAGCAGAATGAAGAACTTTTCAAGGATCACTACAACAAATTTGAAATTTAGCTACGAAACTTTTGCTTATGAATTTATTTTCGTCCCTAAATGTTAATCTTTGTGGACGAAATAAATATTTCGTCCTTAAATGACTAGCGCCCAAATTTTTTCTCCCTACCCACCTTGCCCCGCCTCCTTGTTATGAAAAATATATATTTTAGGATGAATTATACCATTTAGGGACGAAAATATATATCTTTAAATGTTAAGTTATTTAAGGATGAAGTTTATTTATTTAAACATCTATTTAGGACAAAAAAAGATTGTACCAAAATGTTTGAATCTACAGGGACGAACTAAAACATCCCCTATGTTTAGAATAAAAAATATACCCCTATTTTTGGTAGAACACTTACTCATTGCCGTCCGTTGCGTACCTCTTTCAATTAGAGTTTCATTCTTTCCCATTCAAATATTTGGCATAACCCACAATCCTTCAAGTAATACCCTAAAAATTAAAGCTCCTTAGTGTGATTTCGCTTCAGCTTTGTTTCTCTCCTTTCCCCTTAAAGTCGAGACATCAATGGTGGGTAATGTAGCATCATCGGAGATATTTGCCGGAGTAAGTCGTTGTGATCGATTTTCCTAAGAGAATAACGGACTTGCGACAATCAGAGTTACCTTTTATGTTTTTTCTAATCTATCATGACGTTGTCATTTTGTATTCAATACTCATTGGTACTCGTATTTTCTATTATTCTTGTGTTTATGGTTTTTTTCTAACCTTGCACCCGAACATCTAAGAAAATTTTGGAGAATATTGAAAAAATTATCATTTTGCAATCTCATTGTTGGGTAGGATAATGTATCTAGTCAATGAAGTCGTCATTTTTTCTCGTCCTTGATTTTCATTTTTAGTTTTCCAATTAGTGACACTAGCGCAACTAGGACTCTTATAAGTTAGTTTATCTCTCGTTTAGACTTTGCCAAATTACCTAATTTGAAGTGTGTAGAGAGAGGAGTATCGGAGTTGATAATAGAGCTATAGCTAATAGAACTAAAAGAAAAAAAAAGTGTAGTTAGATGAAGGCATAATTACGTACCGTAATCATAATGTTTTTGTGCTTGCAGCTTAAGATATTAACTTGCTTTCTCGTTTGATTGTTGATTGTAAAAATATTGGACCGATAGTACAATTTTTATTTGATGTTAATGTAATTGCTATTTGGGAAAAAAGTAAAGGAAGTTGTTGAATTAGCTCTCCAATTTTGTGTCATGGCTATGCATAAATGCTAGTAGTCTTTTTAAGTCTAACGAGGGTGGTAGATACATGTGGTTTATAGTTCTTAGTGTAAATAGAATATCAAATTCATCAAATAAATGCAGGTATCTTATTGACACTTAGTTTCTTCTTATATGTTTCTTGGTATGATAAACCCGGGATGTATTAATAATCGGTGTCTCGCTAATTTTTTTAAAAGAGATGTATTTGGACTACCATTAAACCAAGACTCGTTTAATGCATCCGGTGGTTATGTTTTCGGGATTCAATGATATTAATAGTCTCTTTCGGCTTATATCCTATCGGCGACAAAAATTAGTTATGGGATATTTGATTGTTCTCTTCTTTATTTGTGATTTTTCCTTGGCTCTCTCATTTTCACCTTCTCAATTAGTTAAATATAAATGAATCCTAGCTTTGAGGAAGGGATTTAGGGATATTGCTTTAGTATGCTCCTATCACAGAGGGTTACGGTTTCTTCGGATTCCGGGATATTACTTTAATCACTCGTTGTCACGGAGGAGTACCGCAACATTCCACTTGTTTCCATGCATTTGTGTTAACTTTCGATGAGATTGTTATTATAATGTCCGGTCATCCCACCTTGTATCAAAGTTGTCCGTGATATGTAAACAACTCTCTCGTTTTGTTTTCTTTTAGTATGCGTAGGTTTGGCCTATTTTTTTAGATAGTTTTTTTTTTCACCTTCCGCATAATTAGTTTCCTTTAATGTGATTAGTATGATGAAAGCAAATGCTTGTAAGCACGGTGGTTTCTTTTACATTTTTTGTTTGATGTAAAAGATGTTTGGGTTGGAACCTTTAGTTAGAGCATGTTTATGGTTTTCTCTTTGGATCGATGGGTTAGAATTTGGATTAAGTTCCATTTGTAAAGGTAAGAGGGGACAGTTCTATAAGAAATTTGAGTTGATTGTATGCTTTTCTAGTCTTCTTTTATTTGATGTATAGATTCATGCTGAATGTCATATAATTTTAGGTGTGTTGGTTTGAAAGTGTACTGGAATTAGGCTACCTACTCGGTTTTGTTATTAATGGTGCCAAAGTCTATATGTATGGCTTTTGTTTACGGACTTCACAATTGAAATCTGTTTACTCAATGTAATGTTTTTCATAGAATGATTATGCACTATTAGGAATAGCTTTTGGTTATGGTTATCTCACTCGATTAATGCTTATAGCAAGGCTACCGAGATTGATATAGAAGAACCTAAAAGTTTATTCTCAACGACCTTTGTTTTGGATTGGAGTGGCATTATAAAAGCGAAGGGTTAATATGGTTCTAGTATCAACAAACCCAAGAAAGTGCAATTGGTAAATTTCATGCCTAATCTACCTAAATCATTACTTTTAAAAAAATAATGATTAATTTCAATCCTAGTGTGGAAAGTTTGTACTCCAAGCGAGCTCGTTGCGAGCCAGCACGTAGTAGTAGGCCTACTATAAGTGAGCACACAGCAAGCTATCCTAGTGTGAATTATCAAATTTTATTTAGATGTTGAACAATTACTCACCATTGACATGCAATAATTTTCTTAGTTGCCTTATAGAAGAGCTTATTCAGGAAAGTGAATTAGATGTGGAAGAAAGACATAAAGCAAAGTTCTCTTTGTGGTTTCAATAACGGGTAAAGACCAAATTATAAAAATATTAAAACTTGTATAGTAATTTTTTTGTTGCATGATCCCATATTACCTTAATTCCTCTTGTAGATGATACGTTTATATAATGAACGATCACAAAAAGGAAGTGAGGCCTTATATTCGTTAGCATACGGACCTTAAGTTTATGTAATAAAATATAATGGTTGCATCATTAATGGGGTTAGGTTTCATATCAAGAATCATGATTCATGACTTAAAAGCCAAAATAGTGGGGTGGTAGTAGAAGCAAATCATTGTGACAATATGGTAACTTTTTATGGGGTGCTTACTAATATTATAGAGTTGGACTACATAAAAGATAGAGGAGTTGTGCCTTTTTAAATGTGAGTGTTTTGATCTTAGTAGAAAAAAAGCAAGCATATATGTTGATGTTAATTTTACAAGTGTTAATGTTTCTTGAACTTGGTATGAAGATGAGCATTATGTGTTAGCTTCTCAAGTTAAACAAATTTTCTATGTTGATGACATAAAATTAGGACATAATTAGCGAGTTGTTCAACAATTTCAGCATAGACATGTGTTTGATGTGCCAATATTACCAAGTCGGATAAGGAATGAAGATGAACTATCGATCTTCAATAATAAAAA